TTTCTCTCTCTTGTAAAAGCAGAATATTAATCAAATATAATTTTATAAAATCTCTTATCGTGAAACGGATTTTTTTATGATAAAGAAAAAATTTAAAACTATAAGCTTTTAGGAGGAGTTTTTTTAAAATATATGTCAGTTTTTTTGAATTCTTATATTTACTTTTTAATTATACCTTTATTTTAAATTTTATAATTTATTCTAATAATAAATTATTTCATTTTTTTTCCTTCAAAATCCTAAGAATTATACAATTATCTACTAGTTTTTAACTTTCTTTTTATTTTTTAACTTTAACTTCAAAATAACTTTTAAATTTAAAAAATATGTTAATGAGTAATACATTCAGAACTTCTAAAGTATGCTTTTTATATTCTCTGGGATATTTGTCAGATACTCATTTATTTATTTATTGGAGAAAGTTTTTCTACATTAAAATCTGCTTGTGTTCTCTCTCTCTTTTATATTTTTTGTTTTTCCGCTTTGCTGCCTCACCTGGTGAAATTCAGGTCGAGGTAATATTGCTGAGATCCGAGATCCAAGATCTTGTTGACTGACTTCCTCAAAAGATTTCTGAAGCCGAGTTGAGGAAACTGAGATCCCAACAATTTGTGAGATAGTCATTTACTTATTTACGTTTAGTACATGAGAGTGCATGCTCTTTACCATATATGTGCACCGTGTCCTCTCTACATGACTTCAAAATTAGGTGAAGACTACCTCAAATTTATTTTCTAGTATTTTGTTATCTGTACTTTTTCTCTTATTCGATATTCCTTTATGTTATGGACACAGACAAGACCCGTATATTTGAAGGTCCAATAAAGGGCAATGTAGTAAGAAAATCATACAAATTAGGAAAAAAAATCCTTTTATTAATGACAATCCTATTATAACAATAAGACAATGATATATTGGGTTCAAAGACTATAAAAAGGTCCAGAATCCTACTATTCCCATAGGTAAACTTTATAAATAAGAGGTAAAGTTTATATGTATAATTTAATTTCTCTCCAATACTGTTATGCTGTCACTATGCACATACCACCCATTTGGCAAATGTTGTTTATACCTGTGTACAGTGATCTATCATCTCAAGGTATTCACACTTATAGATACCTTGGAGAGAGTATCAAATCCTATGTAAACTCACTAATTTTTGACTAGAACTTTTGTCAATTAGACAGAACAGTAATAATAATAATGTTGTAAAATAAATATAGATACTTGAGAGAAAATATGGAGATAAGAGAGACGAGAAATATATTCTTATTGTATTATCATGCTCTTTGATGCCTCTATTTATAGGCTTATAAGACAAGGACGGTTACAATATGATAAATGATCACAATTACTTATTCCAGTGGTTACAGAACATTCAACGGTCATAACCAATGTTGTCAAAATCGAGTTTCTATGTAAAAATGGAAGGGAATGGTAGAAACATAAATCGTAGAAACGACACGAAACATAAAGCTTTTACTACTTAAAGTCAAGATACAAAATTATATATATGCATGTAAAACAAATATCACATAAGTCACTACTCAAAATTCAATGAATAACTTCATATTTAAAAGATATAAGTCACATAACTATATAAGACATAAGCCCAAAAACACAAAAAGAGTTTAACAACTCCTATAACCAAGTTCCACAATATCAAAATATTAGAGTTTAACAACTCTTAAATGAAAATACAACCGCTTCGCGTGAGGATTTTTATTTTATTAAAAATATAAAAATAAAACCAATCATGGGTTAAAAGTTGACCTAGTTTGATTTTTTGGTTTAAGTAAAAACGTAAAAATTTGTGTTTCTACCATTTTTACGTTTTTACACGTAGTTTTTACCAGTTTTTACTAAAGTGAGTTTTTACTTGCGTTTTAAGACGTATCACCTTAGTAAAAACATAAGTTTTTACGTTTTTACACTAATTTTTAACAATGGTCATAACGGTCATGGACAGTCAACAATCAATATTATTTACAACAAATAATAAATATTATTTTTTGAGACAAATCAAACCTATCTTTTACATTTTGTGGGGGGTGCAGTTTAGTGAACCAAATTCTTATATTCTTACAAGAATCAAAATTTTCAACAATAGTTCTAGTATGTTTGATTAAGACACTATCAAACCACAAGCAGAACAAAAGTACACTTCTCTTTATTTTGGGTAACAACAAAAGTACTTCTTTTCACTGCGACAAAGCAAGCCAAGTTTCAGATCTATTCGGAATAGATGAACACAATGCTAGATAAGAGGAGATTAAAAAAAAATAACAATAGAATAAAATGAATAAATAAAAATAAAATAAAAATTTGGGGAATGGGGAAATAAGATAAAAGATAAGAAGGAAAAAAGAAAGACAGGGGGATTGAAAAGAAAAAGGACTAAAAAGGAATCATCTGGAACATAAGAATAACAACGGGTTTAACTTTCCACCTGCTTATAGCTTTTCTCCTTCCGTCCGAAGACACACTGTCTGCCAATCTACATCCCACTCCATTAAGTCTTGTTTAACTATCTTTCCTTAGGTAAGTTTCGGTTTACCTCTACCTCTATTTGTGTCGAGCTCTTGGTAACAAACTTTTGTTCTTACAAGAGCATCCAGGGGCCGTCTCATTACGTGCCCAAACTACCTCAATCTATGCTCCCTCATCTTTTCAGTTACTGGTACTACTCCTACCTTTCGTCGAATATCTTCATTTCTTATCTTATCCATCCTCATATAACCACACATCCACCTTAACATTCTCATTTCTGCCACTCCCATTTTATGCTTGTGTTGCCTATGTGCTGGCCAACATTCAGCTCCGTATAACATTGCAGACCTTACTGCTATTCTATAGAATTCTCCTTTTAGCTTAAGGGGAGTTTTGCGGTCACGCAAAAACCTAAATGCACTCCGCCATTTCGTCAATCCTGCTCTAATTCTATGATTTACATCTTCATCAATCTCACCACCTTTTTGCAAAATTGATCCCAATTATCTAAAAGCATATTTCTTGGGTGCCTCTTGACCAAGTAGATGCACGAGGTCTTGATCTCTATCTCTTACTAGAGAAAACTCACACTTCATATACATAGTCTTACTTCGGCTTAACATGAAACCTTTAGACTCCAAAGTGCTTCTCCACAATTCAAGTTTCCTACTAACACTGTCTTTGGTCTCATCAATAAGCACAATATCATCAGCAAAAAGGATATACCACGACTCTTCCTCTTGAATGTCTTTTGTTAGTTCATTCATCACTAAGGCAAAGAGATAAAGACTCAGAGCCGAACCTTGGTGTACATATACTGTAATAGAAAAATAACTTGATGTTCCATTACAAGCTTTCACACATGTAATAGCCCCAACTTGAGGGTACTTTTTTCTTCTCAAGAACCCACCATAAAACTTTTCTTGGGACCCTATCATATGCTTTCTCAATATATATGAACACCATATGTAAATCATTCTTTTTTTCTCGATATTTTTCCATCAATTGATAAATGTAATGTGTAAAGGAAAAGAAATGCTAAATTGATAGGAAAAAAATTAAAATATTGCAATTTCAACAAAAAAATTATGAAATTATAGCAATTTAAAACCTATCTACAAATGTGTAGCAATCAGTTGTGCCCAATTTGCACCATAATTTAGGCACAACAGGGGTCTGGTCACGCTAGGGGCATTCGCGGTCTGGATTGGATCGATTTTGGAAGCAAAAATTATCCGATCCAATCTCTTCGATTTAATAATGTAATCATCTATTCGGTTTGGATTTTTAAATTAACATATTAAAAAATTAATTTCCTAATGTCTGTTTTTTTTCATAATAGTCTCTCTTTCTTGTTAAAAAAATGAAAGCAAACATGCACAATGTTTTGTTTAATAACATGAGATTAATATTTTTCATTAAAAAATAATTTTATTTTTTATACATACATAAAAATATATAAAATATATATAAGATTATGTAAAAAAAAGAAAAAAATATAAATCTTTAATATATATATATATATATATATATATATATATATATATATATATATATATATATATATATGGGGTAGAATATTCTTACACTGGTGTAAGAGTTAGAAGTCTTACTTTCAATCTTGACCATTGATCTACTTATATCCAATGACTCACATTACTAGAAAAATTGAGCCCTTAGATATAAGTGGGATTAACAGACAAGATTAAGAGTATAACTTACACTGGTGTAAAATGATCCTTACCCTATATATATATAGGGTTTTATAAGAGTTATGTTGTAGGAAAAGTAATTGTGTAATGTTATAGAGATTCGTTTTGCGTGCCATATATATATATTTTTTTGCTTCAAAAAATACGGGCCCACAAAATATTGTGTGTGTAGGAAACTTTTTTGTGTCCCCCATATATATAAGGGTTTTATTAATCTCCTTCCACATAAGATAGTTATCTTATGTGGTAGAGAGAAAATAGGTGGTTCCCACCATTACAAGAAAAAAGAAAAAGAAGAAAAAAATAGGATGCGAAAATCGAAGTGAAAAAAAATGAGATAAGTTACCTCATGTAAAAGGAGAATAATATTTCCCTATATATAATAGTGTTAGGAGTTAAATTTTATTTCATATATCATTACAAATATTACTTCCTAATAATATTGAGTTGCATGTTATCATCCACACAACTAGAGGACAATACAGAGTTGCGTCAACTGAGGAAAGAGGAAAGAGGAAAGAGGAGGGTCAAAAACGAGAAAACACAGCACAGCACAACATCATACTCTGTCTTTTTTCCTTCACCTATGGATCAGATCAAATCGTATCAGATCCTTTCTTTTTGTCTGACTCAGCCATAAAACTCCATCTTTCACACTCTCCCATCCTATTTCCCGCTTCACAGAATCCAATGTCCTAATCATCAATCAAACGGTCCGCCAAAGCGGTCTTACATTATAATATCTGTATCTTGTTGTATCATATAACACTCACCTTTTTTCTTTTTTTCGTCATCACTTTCTCTCTATGAATACCCAGCTAACTCTCTTTATCTTTACCTCTTTCTCTCTATCTCTCTTTGACACAAGCAAAAATTTTTGTGCTCCATTTTCTTCCTCTTCTCCTCTCAGAGGATTCTCTGAGGCAGCTCAGGTAATCCCTTACCTCCCTTTCTCTGTTTTTTCATGTGGGAAACATTACAACTTTTGAAGGGTTCTGTTTTTGCAGAGATTTGGAAACTTAGCTTAAGATGTTTTGGGTTTAATATCCTCTGTGTGGAATATCAAATTTTAAGACTTTTTGGGTTTCTTCATGTGTTTAAAGAAAAGGGTCTTTGTATATTTGGTTTTAAGGTAAGATTCTATGTTTTTTTGGGTTTCTTCAAGTGTTTGGGTGAAGAAAAAAGAAGAAGAAAAACTTTGAGCAAATGGGTTTCTTTCTTTCTTTCTTTGTGTTGGTCCATAATTTCATTAGATTTTGTTAAATTTTGCTCGGATTTCTCAACAACCAAGAGAATTATATGGGAAAAATAATCAATTTTTTTTTTTTTTTTGGTGTTTGTTGTTGCAGGTGTTCCTAGACAAGATCTCTTGTTTTCAGGTGTGAAAAGAAAGAGAAAAGATGAATCACTGGGGGAACGCCTTAACAAGCTGCGAGGAGATGAGGATGGAATCAGTGGTTTGCCCTAAGCCTCGTCGATTGGGTCTGTTGAACCACTCATCCATTGATAACCACATCAGACCCTTGAGGCCACCCTTCATCAAGTATTTCCCAACTTTTTTTTTCTTCATTTTTTTGTTGATTTTTTTTTATTATCAATTCCCTTTTGTTAAATTCTGACTTTCTATTTATTCCCACAAAAAATTCAGCTACCAATCAGAGATCGAAGATTCAGGAGTTGGGGCAGAACTTCTGGATATCATTCTCCCCAAGGTTATTTTCTATCTCAATTTTCATGTTTTCAATTAAAAAAGAGTTTTACTTTTTCTTTTTTTTTTAATCTTCATTCTGTACATATTTGTTCCATAAGTATTTTCCTTGAATATTTATATGGTTTATTCATGTGATTCCTCCAAGATGTAACAACTATGGGGTTTTTGGTGATGATTGATGCATGATTGCTGGAGAATAGAGATGATAACATCTTTATCATTTGGCTGCTGTTGTTGTTGTTGATATTGTATTTGTCTAACCAAAGATTGTTTCCATTTGATTTTGCAGGGTCAAGTGGCTTCATCACCACCATTTTTTTGTGGATCTCCACCTAGCAGGGCTTCAAACCCTGTGATCCAAGATGAGCAATTTGGTAATGATAACGGGAGTTTTAATCCTTTTTCCATGGCAACACCTTCTTCACCATCTTCCACAGCTAGAGGTTGTGTTCGAATGAAGTTTGGCCACACACCAGCTGCTGTTAGGATCGAAGGTTTTGATTGCCTTAGCAGGGATAGGCGCAACTGCAGTATTTCTGCTGTTGCTTAATTCATTTCAAACAAAGAAAAAAAAAAGCATGAAAAGAAGTCAAGAGAGGTTTACAAATCACCAAAGTTCTAAGAGCAGAGGAGATTTTTGGGAGACAGGAGCTAAACTTAATTCAATGTTATTGTATTATATGTACATAATGGTCTATCAAGTTGTTGTTGATGAGTTAAGGTGTCATGTATAATTGAGATGGTGAGAATTTTTTTCTTCCTTTTTTGAAGAATAAAGAGAGGACACATCTGGGAAAGAAAAGGGCAAGCAAAAGTCTTCTTCTTTCTCATTTGTTAGGTTTATTGGGGGTCTTAGATTGAAGTCTGTAACTGTAATGTATTGGAAACTCAGATCCTCCTTTTGTAATTGTAATTCGGAGGAAATTGAGGATTAATCTTGGGAATCTTGTAAAGTATATTTTTTGTGGGTGCCCTATTTGTAGGTGTTGCCTATTTGATAATATCAAAGAAATATTGTTTATACTTTATATATGATATTCTTCTCCAATCAAAATAAAAGGCAGAATGTGTGGTTTAGTGACAGAAATAATAATACTGTTGTAGGAGAATCTTAGGAAGCTTCATAGGGCATGTAATGGTCAGATTTGGAGGGCTATTGTTTAGTATATTTTAATTATTCTCTTTGATTTGATTCATGGGACAGATACTAGATTGAGGATTTTTCTTTGTTTCTTTTTGCTAAAAGATTGAGGATTACTATTTGATGAAGTGAAAGGGTACAATGGTGTGAAAGGGGTGAGTAGGAGAGATTAGTAAATCACATGGGGGATGTTGTGATAGGTAGATTGAGAAGTGTGTGAGGTGAGTCAATCACAAATACAGAAAAAGGGTGGTATTTGTTACTTTGTTGTGATGGAAAGTGGTTAAGGTGGTGGCGGCATGTAGGCTGGTCTTAAGTGTTTGTTTGGGGGTTGATGGTTGATATGAATACATCATGTGTAGGTCCCCTTCTTTGGTGACTTTAGAAGTTGCGTGGGGCTTTCTGCTTTAGTAACAAGCGCGTTGGATGGTGCTATTACTGGCTAACACCAATTGCAAGTTGTAAGGAGCATTGCTTGTGCAAACGGCAGAGGAAGAAAATTTGAGGACATGGACCACACCAAAGGAAAAAAATTGCATTAATTAATCTGACTTTTTTTCACAAGAACATGACATTATCATGTTATTTGAGAGAAAGATGCAAACTTATTGTCTAAGATAAGATTGGTGAATTTTTGTACAGATAATGATAGGTCAATTTATAGAAAATGTTTTTTTTTCCCCTCTTGACATAACGTCATGCTTTGAAGACAGAAATTAGTTTGGAGGAATGACATGTTTCTAAAAGAAACTAATTGTATGCATTAAATATATATATTCTCAAATAATCTAGTCTTAGCCATGGACGTGAGAATACTTATGATTAGTTTTTTTTTTTTTTTTTGGTTCACAAGTTTCTTTTCTTTTATAGAAAAATTGCTTCCGACTTAATGAACATTAAGTTACAAGGATTGGAGTAGTAGTGAAAGCGTTAGACAATTTATAAGTTTAAACTGGGGTGTCCTTATTGAACAAAGAACAATCAGAAGATTATTTACATAAATGAATGTGTATTTTGTGTGTTTAAAACTGGGAACAGTTCATGAATGAAATTGGAACTTCTGCCTCATGTCTATTTACATAAATGAATGTGTATTTTCTGTATTTAAATTGCATGAAAAGGGCGTGGCTGCCATCTTCACTGTTTCTAATCACCCCATGTTAGAAATTTGAATGAAGAAATAAGAAAAGTTGAAAGATAAGACAAGTCCTTGGTTCAGAAAAGGCTATTGTTGAAAATTTTGACTCTTCTAAATTAGATCTATTGTTGAAAATTTTGATTCTTGTAAGAATAAAACGCAAAAGGTAGGTTTGATTAGTCTCAAATAAGCAATATTTATTATTATTATTTTAATGTAAAAGACTCTAAAATAAGAGAAAAAGTACAGATAATAAAATACTAGAAAATAAACTTGGGGTAGTCTTCACCTAATTTTGAAGTTATGTAGAGAGGACACAGTGCAGTTATAAGGTAAATTGGTAATTGGCAAAGAGCATGCAGTCTAATTTACTAAACGGAAATAAGTATCTAACAAATATCACAGAGAATATATAAAACATACTTTAGAAGAGTCATCTGAATATATCAGTCATTAATAAACCTTTGCAATTGGATTCAACAACAGTATCATGAAAACACAAGTCCAAAACGTAAAGGAATCTTCCCAAATAAGAAATTGCTCCAACATCGAGACAAAAATGCATCAGAAACTCTATATGTAAAACCAAGGCCCCCACCCCACCATCCCAAAAATTAAGAGGAAGCATTCGTGCTTAGTTTAAACATCATGCATAAAATTATGTATCAGTGTGTTTCATTTTGGTTGCCACAACAAGGACTATATAACGACATCAATTAAGACATGATGTACTGTTAAAATATTGCATAAAAAGTTGCTAGAAATTGTCAACTAGTGAATAACCTTCTAACTTAATTTCATGCAGTTTCTTAACCTAGCTATATTTAATATGTGTTTGGTTTAAGTTTAATTTTTATACAAGAATAGTTCTTTCAGTCAATTCATTTCCTCTTGAATATTTTGATTATAATTTTTCTAAAGTTAAAATAAGTTGGACTTAATATGGACTAATTTATCTATTATTCTCTATCTTCTCATCAAACTTTAGTAACTTCGGTTAAAAAGTGATTAGTTGAATTGTAAATTTTAAATTTTTGTCCATTGAATTTTTTTTTTTTTTTTTTTTTAAAGGACAAAGTAGAGTGAGTTAGGGAAGTATGGAAAGTGAGTATGTGAAGCACACTCATTACTTGGCTTCATATGGCAACCAAATTAAATGTCTAGTATAGTACAGTGTCCATTATACATAAGTAGTACATGTATATACCTAACTTGCATTCACTAAGAAATGAGAATGGCCATGTTAGGTGTGTGGTTTAAGGCCATGTTTTTTTAATAGCTTGGGGTTCGAAATCCTAACGGGTTGGATTAATATAATTTTGGGTTTGAGTGTATTCACTCTTTCCATAGAAATCGAACCCCTTACCATTTAGACAAGTTAAATTCTTAGAATTAGTTAGGAACAATGAACAAAATATCATATTTTGGCAAAATTTTTATTCAAATGCCACGCAACAGTATTTTTACTCAAACTGCCACGTGTCATAATTGGCTACGACCGGTAGCAAATTACGTTCACCAATGATTTTGTGACACGTGGCACACTTTCGTAGCAAAAGTTGACATGTCATAAGTCGCTACCTATAATGACCCTAACTGGTAAATCTTAGTTAGAGATTTAATTTAAGGATTTAAATGCCATAATTAGATTCAGTGAGCGATTTCGAGTATTTTGACTGTAATCATGACTATGTTATGAACAGTGCGTTCTGCCGGAGAATTTACAGTTTTGTGAATTAACCGGTAGAGCTTAAAATGAGCAAAATAATTTTAGGAACATAATTTGAAAATTCTGACGACAAATATGAGTTCAGAACGAAAAATTGTATAGTCTGGCACTTTCCGTGAAAATCTCGTGAATAGTGTTTCTACCGGGTATTTTGTACTGCTGTTTAAGCAACCGGTAGAGTCCAGATATAAATAATTGATGAAATAAGAATAAGAAAGTCCAATATATGCCAAGCAAGTCAATATAGGCCCAAGAAAATGATAAGTTTATAAGTGTTAAGTTTCAGAATTAAATAAAGTACAGTTAGTGGTTCACAGTGCATTTCGTTAAAAACGGTGCAAAAACCATACTGTGAATTATGAATATTGTTCCTTAGGAAATAAAAATTAATTTAAATAACTTTAGAAAAATAAAAATATATCCGTAGCTTTAAGTTAAGTTTCCGGTAAATTTAAGAAATACGCGATAGAAAAACATCCGACAAAAGGGCCACATGTGCCTAAATAGCTTGGCCACTTAAATGAATCACTATTCATTGCAAAAATTTCCTCTTCTCTCTCTTGAAGGGCCGAGCTTCAGCCATGGAAAAGGGGGGGGGTTAGGGTTTTGCTTGTTTTGTTGATTTCTTCTTGAATTCTCAACCAAATCTTATGACCCACCACTTGAAATTGATTAGGAACCACTCAAGGAATCCATTGCACCTATCCATTTGAGATATAGTTGAGTGTGTGAAGAGTTATTCCTCCTCTTATTTTCGGATTACTATTCATAGGAGGAGAAAAAGTGGGTTTTTAATGGAGCTTTGCTTGGAGGTTATTCTCTAGGCTTTGTACAAGTGATTAGAGGTAAGAAACCTCTATTTCTATGGTATTATTTTGTGATCTATGTTTTGAAAATTTGGAGCATGTTTTGAGTGGGAAATATTTGATGTTAGAAGGTGAAAATTATGATGGATTGTTGTTGTATAGGAATGATAGTGTTTAGTAAGCATTAATTTGTGATAAAAAAATTGAAAAGCCCTAGTGCACTTTTCCCCTAGGTTTCGGCCTTCATGGCTTATATAGGGTTCATCATGCAAATTTTTATGGTATGTTTGAAAAGGTAAAATATGTTGGAATGTAGTGTAAATGGATTAATTGGTGGAAATGCCAAAGTTAGAAAAAATCCTACAAATACTTGCTCTATGTTGCGAACTATAGGATGTTTAGGGGTATATATATATTGGTTACATTTTATTCTAATAAAATGGGTTGCATTTTAATATACCAATGGATGAGCTAAGAAGTGAAATGCTTTGACAAATGGTTGAAAAATACCTTGAGTCCCTAAGGGTACGCCCGCGACTTTTAAAGAAAAATAACATGATTTATGTGAAAAATTCTTAAGTAAATGCTTGATTAAATTAAAGAACGCCAACGGGTGTATAGAGGTCTAGACTTGTGTATTGGCATAGAATTGGCAAAAATATAAAGAAAGGAAAATAAGCGATAAAATGTATGCTTATGAAATAATCATGGTATTGCATCATTTTATTGATGCATTGTAAATTATTCTCTAGGTGTGCCTAGGGATTGAGAAGGATCGGAAATCTCTTGAAGCGATAAAAGTAACTTGTTCCACAAGTAAGCGTATTGGTAAAGCTTCAAGAGGTAAGCTCTATGTTTAAGGAGTCTTTTCCTGCTTGAGTGCTCCACCATGGTTAGTGAACTATGGTTGGACTGTATGACTGTGATTTAGATGCTTTGTATAGATGCATTCATATAGAGTTATTTGATAACATGATATGTTTTGCTCTGATATGACTTCTGTAATATGATTTCTGTAACAATCTCTGGCCATTGATTGTATAGTACCCGGACGTCCGCTTTGGGGTCCTCCCTCGGGACTGATGGTGTACTCCTCTGATATGTCTGGTTCCGCTTTGGGGTCCTCCCTCGGGAACACGTGCGTTGATTTCCGCTTGGGGTCCTCCCTTGGGAATGACGGCGCACATCTCTGATATGATATGGATATATGCTCT